ATACAGGACCATACAGGCTCTCCTAGTGCCTTCACTATTTCTGCTCAACAGCAGACGTACTCCCTCCTCTGGTAATATCAGTACAGGAGCCCCTCAGACTGCACGAGAGCTTGTATAGGTTATTTTTTGCTGCTTTGAGGTGGTATAAGTGTCCCACTAGTCTTTATGTGCTGCCCCAGGCCATGGGGCTGAAGCTGAAGGAAGACAAATGAATCACAGCAGAGGTGGCAGGGCTGCTGAGCTGCAAGAAAAGAAGCTCCTCTGCAGCAGTATGATGTCTTTCCACATAACCAAAGTGCAACTGCCACACTAAAGAGACTTTGGACCTGGTGGGAATCTCTTTTAGGGGAGCAGGAACTTTGACTTGTCGTTATTACACAGTGAAATCGTGATTTTTTTCTGCCTTTTTTTTCTCATCTTTATGCAGGCAAAACTTCCACGTGAACTGCGAGGAGGCATGAATGAATAAGGAATGCAGACAATAAGGGAGGAAAGGTGAGAATCTGTTTCTTGTGCTAAGGGTCAGATGACAAGGGATTTACTGGGGCTATCTTGTCCATGCAGCGCTAGAGGAATTCGTAATACAATTAAGGAAAGCAGTACAGATTATTTACTATGCTAAAAGTAATAAATATAAGGATACTCACTGGAGCTGAGTGTGGTTCTCCGCTTACACCTCTACTCTGGGGTCTGTAAATCCACGTTTGCCTTCATTAACCAAAGTAGGCCTCTCAGTTCTTGTGTGCCAGACCAGCACCTACAGGGAATCACAAAGAAAGCTGAGGGCTCTGGATGCCATGGAAACACTGAGAGCAGCAGACAGGATCCTGAGCAACCCGGAGCTCAGAATTGTTTGAAGCATTGCGTTTCAAAGGACTTGACTCAGGACCTTGGGGAGACTTTGTAAGTGCGTGAGAGAGTAGTAAGGAGGAGAGATTGTTCTGGACCAAACCCCAGGCTCAACCCTCTGCTAATCCTCTTGAATTTTGGAGAAGAAATCAAGGTGTGAATTATGCAGCAGAGAATCACAGAATCACAGACTGCTTAGGGTTGGAAAGGACCTCTAGAGATCATCTAGTCCAACCCCTCTGCTCCAGCAGGGACACCTAGAGCACCTAGAGGCTCTTTATTAACACAATTACAGCGCATAGCACTAAATGTTCCTTGGCATTCATTGAATTTCTCATCTGCAAAGCATTTGTCAGGCTCTGTCTATCATCTCCCTCAGCACGTTTCTGAGCTGGTGTGCTCTGGTGCAAGAGCAGGCACAGTGAAAGGTGAGTGGGACATAGCAGGAGGCCACAGGAGAGGCCAGAGCCAACCAAGGGACATCTTCAATGTCTCTTGCCTTGCTCACCTTTGTGCAGTTGGCTGCTTTTGGCTCCAACCCATCCATAGTCACCAGGTCCTTCAGCAAACTGGTTTCCTGGTAGCCTCCTTTAACTCCCTCCAACTTGAAACTGGCTTGAGGCTTCTCCAAGATTAGCTTGATGCTGATGGCAAATCCAGCCATGTCAATAGCAAAGGGTCGGTTTGGGTCAAAGACGGTTTTCCAGCCCACCACCTTTCCTGCTGGGCTCACTTTGGGGGATTCATAACGCAGGCCGCCAACGAAAGCCACTGGCCAGACTGACACTCTCCTTGTGTAGCGCATCTATGAGACAGAAGGAAACTGCCTTGTGAGAATTCAGCCCTGTGACGTTTGTTCCAGCCTGTTCATGTACCATCCCCTGTATTACTTGGCACCTGTCCTCCCCCATTGGCTTCCTACACAATCACGCAGCTCTAGGCTGCACATGCTCCTCTTCCCCAGTGCTACTGCTTGAAAAGCTACAGCCTGCTGTGCCATGAGCTCTGTTTTAACGCATTCTTCTGCCCTGAACCCCCAAATTCACTGTGTTTTATTACCCATATTCTGTCTCCCAGAAGATGGAAGACCTTGATTTCTGATCTCATCTGAACTTTTGTAAATTTTCTAAACAGAAACATGCCAAACACTACTTTTGCTGGGTTTCTATCTCCCTGCTACCAACTTCACTCACATCATTTTCACTTCTTTTTAAGTAATCTTCTTCCCTCATTGATGCCTCCTTACTGTTGTCCTTACTTAAGCACTCTGTCCTTACTTAAAGCATCTTCCTACCCTCACCTCGCCTTGTTCAACCATCTGTGGCTACTTCCTAAGAGTGTGTTTTTTTGTTTTTTGAAATTGTCTGAAAGGATTTAGAAATAAATAAGAAAAGATGAGCTTAACAGAGATCTAAAAATTGAAATTGAATTGAATTGAAAACTTGAAGTGTCTTCTGATGCATAATACAGGATTTTGAGTGGCGTATTACCGCTTGGCTTAAATTGGTGACAAGTTTTTACTGAAAAATCATCTTTGCAAGTGTGCAAAAGACTGGATGTCTCACAAAAGCCAAGACACCAAGAGAATTCTGGGCAAGCTTTTCTGATACCAGGAATACAGCTCTTTTGTAATGGTTGGAATGCAGAATACAAAAGCGCAGGAAAGGGGAACAAGTGGATTAGACAGTCAGTCAACTTTTTTAACATTGCTACAACTGTGAAGATTTATGTTCACTTGGTAGTCCTGTCCCCGAGATCTCTGTAAGTGCAAACAGGACTTTGCCTTGAGAGGTCTAGCTGTACAGGTTTGTAGCTATATTGTGTTTTCTCTCCCATGTGATTTTAGGGTTCCTACCTCTTCAAAGAGCTCGAGGCTGTAGGTGTTATCATCATCTGCAAAATACACTACCCCTTCTGGTGGTGCAGAGTTGCTGAAGCTGTTCCTCAGCCAGTGCAGCCCCAGGTTCCTCTGTAATGTCCCCCTTGGGGTGTGGGATGGGATCCAGGACAGGCCCAGCTTCAGACTCTTGGGGGTCTCCACATTGAGATGGGTGAAGTTAAGCCCTGCCTTCTCCAGCAAGTTGGATACCAGGTTGGTCCTCCGGGGCGAGTCCTCCACCACCACCCAGTGTAGGTTCTGCACGTGTAGGAACGTGTTGGCTAATCGAGTCAGCTCAGCTTTTTGCACTGGCCGGGTGTAGGTCGGAGTGATGACGAAGATGATTGGCAAGGTGTCTGACCATGGGGGAGGCCTGGAGTACACATAATTCTGGATGACTTTGGGCGTTGCCACCAAGCTCTGCTGCTGCCGAATGCATGACGGGAAGCCTTCCTCTCTCAGTGCTGACGTGCCGTTGACAAAAGCTTTAGAGGTCACATTCTCATCTGTATCTTCTGGGGCAAAAGGAAGGAGGGAAGAAGAGGAAAGGTGTTAAGAAACTAATCACTGCAGGGTTACCACCTCTCCAGGGGAGCTGGCGACCTGCCTCTCTACAGTCTGCCCAAGGCAACCCCCTTCTTGGAGTGCTCGCTCTCACAGGAGTGCTCGGCACAGCAGCCTGCTCTCCCTGAAGCTGTCTTAGGGAGCATTTTTAACATGCTCTTAAGAACAGCCTGGGTGCCTGCTGTAGCCAGACACTGAGGGTGCCCTTGAACAACTTCATCTTGGTTTAACTCACTCTGTGAGGGAGAGTCTTATAGCGAGGGCGCTCACCAACACCCGTCACGGCCAGGGGCATGCCAACAGCAGAGCTCTTACACTTACTTCTCAGGAGGCTGAGGTAGCGGGTGGTTGGGTACTGATGCCACAAGGTTAGGAGGAGAGCCCATGGCAAGGCAATGAGGAGCGTGGTCAGCAGGTTGCGTCTCCTCAGCATGCTGCCGAGAGCTTCCGATGCCCAGGCATCTCTCTACCTTTCAGAGCAAAGAGAAAAGAGAAAGACCTCGGAAATACTAACCACCATAAGCACTAGGGCAGTAAAATCAGAACCAGACTCAAAACACTGGGTTTGGTTTGCTTAGGGAGAGGCATAATAAATGCTGGACATTATTATACAGCAAAGCATTTCTTGAAATACAATTACAAGGAGCCCCCCTTAGGTTGCAGGCCTAACAATTCCTCTGCTATTGAATCTAAGCTTTCATCTATTTATGTTGCTGTAAAGAACCTCCTGTTGCCTAGAGAGGAGCCAGCTGTCCTTGACTCAAGGTTGTTCATCTTACTGAATCCAAGGTCCAAGAGGACTGTTACTTGCCCCCTTTCCAGAGAAGTGTTCATTCCTGAGCTTAGTGGTAAACATTTTATGGGTTTAATTGGTGGAATTATTTAAAACTGTGTGAAGATTTGCATTCATGAATAATGCCAGTGGGCAAAACAAAGAGAAAATGTCAGGGGTCCTAAAGAATCCTAGTTTCCTTTTCATTCTTGCATCTTAATTCATTTTCCTTATGCAGATGCATTGATGCAGTCAATAACCGCACCACTATCTACTAAGTTTTCTGCAAAGCCCCTGCCTCAGTCATTCCACAGTGCTGGTGGTGTTTGCTGAAAGTTTAATTAGTCCAGATCTCTTTCTACTGCTGGCATGCAGTTTTTGGCCACTGCATCATTTATTTTATATCACAGATTTGAGAATACTTTAACTTCCTTTATAGTATTTCCATAATGTACACGACCGGGAGATCTAAGGAAACACAACAGTTAACATTTGGTTTCAACCCCAGTACCCATAGGTGAGAGGAACTAAAGAAAAATAAAATTCAAGGACAAAAGTACCAGGAATAACCAACAACAAGGGGTGCCTTATTGACAGGCACTCCAAACTACAGCAACTCTGTGCTTCTTTCTTTTCCCAATTGTTGAGCACCTTCAGATGGTCAATTTTATTGATGAACCAGCCAGCTCATCTGAAAATCGGATCCTTGGCTTCTCAAGGCAGGCTGGCCTTCACCAGTGTCCAGCTTTAATGATCACTTTGGAAAATACAGACTGAAGTCCTTGGATGTCTGCTGCAGACCACTTGTTCAGAGACACAACTCAGTGCTGTATAAAGTCATGATGTGATGAGATCCCTGGCTTCTCTGTTTGAAGATGCTTCATAGCCTTTGTGCATAAGTCATAAGAGCACCCGATCTCAGAGATGAATCCTGGAGGTGCAGCATGCACAGTGCATGTATGACTCGACACAATGTCAAGAACATTTTCCTCCTTTTGTTAGCTTCTCTTTAGTCTCACTGTCGCTACTAAAGCTCCCAATCCTGTTATCACAACTCCAGCAACAAAGGCAGTGCTGCAGGTAGAGTGATCCACTTTTGCTCCTGCAGACCAACGGCCCAAGGAAACATTGAATGGTACAAAGTGGCTTGTTGCCATCTGAAGACGTTTTGCTATCACTCCAAGCAGGTTGCCTGATGCTTGATTGGGACATGCATTTGCTAGATTTTATTCCCTTCCCTCCTGATAACATCTGTGGTCTGTTTCCTCTTGAGTTCCTTTCTGATGTCAAATATTTCTCCAGAGGACTTCCTTCCTACAAAAGAGATGCTCCCTGGAGGCTAAAGGAGGCATAAAACTTCCATTAACCTCCTATAGAAACATTTCCATTGGGAAACTGCAGTCACACTCCCAGGGAACTGGAGAGCTGCTGTATGATACAGAGCCTCCAGCCTCACTTACTCTCCTAGACTGAAGGCAGGTTGAGGGAAGAGGGCCATGGCATCACGTTGACACAAAAAGAAGGAAAGAAGCTCAAATTGGTTGGCTCTAAATTCTTGCTTTGCCTTGGTGCCGGGCTCATCAGTGCCCTACCACCAGTAACTCAAACTTGTTTCAGTCAGATTTGACAGAAGGATATCAGATACCAACTGCACTCTGCTGGAGCCATTCCTATAGGCAACCTACCTCCATGCTCCCCAGACCAGCTGTGCATGGTGATAATCCTTTATGCCCCATAGCCAATCAGTCAGGAAACAACTTGGTGGGTTTTCTTCTATCTTCAAACTATGGAAAGCCAATCAGGCAGTGGTCCAAAGGACCTGCATGCCTGGGGCTGCACAGAAGTGTTTTGGTGATGCCAACAGCAGTTTTCTGTGGCAAATATGCTAGCTCTTTATGACTTCTTTGCTTTCTCATGCCTGGTCAAGGACTGGTACAAGAGGCACCTTCAAGCTCTGTTGCCAAAGGTGTAGGAAAGTTATACGTCGAAGCTGGATGCAAGGCAGGATGGTGTTACCCACACAGAGGCCGCTTCCCCCGGCAGGAAATCTCCTTCTCTTATTGGAGAAGCAGCACAGAGCAAGGCTTCCTGCACTCTGAGCTGTCAGAACAGGCAGAACCACCAAAGAAATCCAAACCCCACAAAATAAAGGGGGGGTTCTGTGTTACCTTGTAATGGCAGCAGACACCCAGGTTCACCCAAGCCCTCGTTTGGGTGCCATCACAGCCCCTTGCCTGCTCAGGGATGCCTGGAATTACAAATGGCCTTGTGCCAGCATCTCCTCAGGCAGCCAGCAGTTTATTTTTTTGTTTCCCATTAATAAAAGGCCTAAACTGTACAGGCACCGTCTCTGTGCAGCGGGGCTGTCACTAGTGCAAGCACAAGTCACTGCTGGAGGGAAGGCAAGAAGGAGGTGGCAGTGGAAGCTGCACTACCAAGAGGGCAAAGAGGACAACAGGTCAGAGCTAGAGGAGCTTTAACAATTTCTCTTTCTAGTTCTTTCCTTTTTCTCACAGACAGCCCTATTCATGCTTCCCAAACACTGAAAACCATCAGAGGTGGTGTCTGTGTGTCCATCTTGCCTGGTGCTCTTTGCTCGTTTATCTCTCCGTGCACCTTCTTTCTTTTGCTTCTTGATAGCATGTGATGCTGAGGAAGTTAAACCCTGCAAAAAGCATCAGGTCACCTGGGAACTTCACAGGAGTCCAACTTCAATCCTGTTTTTCGAAAATCTGTCTTGAGATATTTTATTTCCTCTTTAAAGCCTTACCCTCCCCCTTTGCCCCATCATGCTGGTGCTCTTTTCTCTATTCCTGTATATCTCTCTCATCATCTTTTCCTCAGTCTCTGTTCCTCCATGTTTCCAGGACCAGAAGTATCCGCTGGCCTCCTAATAGCACTAACCTTTGTCTTGCCTCCTTCCCCACACAAAGGCTCTTTGCATTTTCTTAATGGCCACTGCACACGGAATACTTCCCACAAAGTAGTCCATTAAAGCGTCAGTCCATCCTCTTGAAAACACTGCATCAAAACCGAGTCACGCGCCAGTGCCTCTGGGTAGGCTGCTGATGGCCCCACTGGGGTTTATGGAGGTTTATTGCACATATTTTTACCTACCTCTTATAATTAAAAACAAAGACCCCTAAGTGGCTCAGATTAATTGCATGCCTGGCTGGCAGGCACGAGTGCATGTATTCTTGGCACAGCCAGCTGCCTTCCCTCTGCCTCTAAACCTATTCATAGCAGATTCCACTAAATCAGATTTGTAGATCACAAGAAAATTTTATGATCATCTAGACCCAGCTCCCACAATCATCCCGTAATATCATCCCGTAATTCCCGGGTTTAGACTGCAGAGGGCAGGGACTGTCTCCTAATGTGCTTATACAGCCTTGTACTGATCCCAACAAGGGCCTTTGGATGCAATTGCAATACAAATATTATTGATTAGACTTTCTTGCTGTCTCTTCTCCTCCTTTGCTGTTTTCCCTTTCCTACCTACCCTCCTTTCTCCTCCCTCTTCTTTTGCTTTTTTCTTCCCAGTGTCTCCTGCAGTCCTCGCTTGTGTTACGCACCCTTAACAACATTAGCTGGATGTTTGATGGATGCCTTCAATATGCTGCCTGTAGCCTTCTTGAGCTGTTTTCCAATTACACATCCCTCTTCTTAATTTCATCCATCAATCTTCTGTTCCCCACTAAAAATAAACAAATGTACGTGCACACACACACACGCTTGCACGTGCACGCACACACGGGCGCAGCACGAAGCTGGCCATGCGGAGGACAAAAGGTTTCTTGTGCTACGTGAGGCTCACCAGCCTTTGTCAGGCTTCTCAATTCCCAGGACACAGCGGTGCCCGCGCTCTGTGGAGCACTGGGCTGCTGCAGAGGGCACTAATCCGAAAGCAGTCGGTGGAGGAGAATGAGAGAAGCACACGGGGAAGGGCCTAAAGACGAGCCTGGGTGCCCCAGGGTGATGCTGAAGAGAGGCACAACGCAGCTGTAGCTCAGGGCGTCCCGTAGGACAGACCCTTCCATCTGTCGCTGACTAATTACAGACGCGTGATACAAGCTGTATTAAGCAGCGCAGGGCAGACGCTGGGAGAGGGCTCAGGATTCCAGGGCTGGGAAGCAACATGGGCAGCCTCGTTGCTCAGATAAGAAGCAACTTAATTTTGTGACTTGCACCCTGAGCTACAAAGGATTTTAAAGGACACATCTGTGGGTGAAAGGCAAAGAAAAGTAAAAGCTAGGGAGAGGCCTGGCTTACTGGGGTTTATGAGGCTGATGTGAGTTCAGGAGCCTGGGATTTTGTTATAGCCCTGTTAAAAAACATGCTCAATTTACTCCTGTTTTGATAACTCAAAAGTTATTAGAATCACCCCAAGTTAGGTAGATTTCAAAACACTAGACCCATTGGATTTACCTTTTCTCTGCAAGGAAAGCTATTTTGCAGCCTCTGGGTCAGGGCAGCGACCTCAACCCCAGGCAAATGTATGTGTCTTCTCAGACACAACCCCTTGTTTTCACAGAGGGACAATTTTCAGAGTTCACACTGCTCCCCAAGAACCTCTCGCCACTCAGTGCACAGACTCGCACCCAAGGCGAACTCATCTCAGCTGACAGGGTGAAAGTTTCAAAGCACACCCCGTAATCTTGGCTTGTAACATGTCTGCAAGCCTGCTCTTCTGTGTGT